TGCACGGGGAACTGCACGGGGGAAGTTAGTGGCACACATTTGACGTAGAGTTAACGGGGGCTAGATATAACTTTGGTAGGAACACACAAATAAACCGTTCCATGGGAGCAGTGTGGCGTAGGGGTTCGAATGTTCGAATCCCACGCGTCATCGCTTTTCTTGGACAAGGCACCTTCACTATAATATATAATGTATTGTCAAACCCATTAAAAAAATATATAAGTTCGAAAAATGACTTGCTTGCACCAAAAAAACTACAAAATATAGGCCTGGTATGTAAATTTTGCTTTGAGTCAAAATGAAATGTAACGATAATTGAACAACTAAAATTTTAAAAATGAGTGTTAACACAGTTAAAAATACATAAAGTATAATGGTAAGAATTTACACAAAATGGAAATTTAAAGCGTTGTTTAAATAGAGATTCAGCTTTACCTCTGTCTGTCGTTGTATTTGTCGCGGCGGACGTTTTGTTTTTATCCTGGGATAGATAATTCTCCCAGTTCATACTAAAACGTCACACAGCAATTTCACTACGTTTTGTTTCTCTCAATTTAGATAGAATATACATAACTGGGTACCCGCAGTAGGATGTTATAAATGTAGGCCTAGTTGGTCTATTTGCATGCATGACTAGAATGCTCCCTAATGAGCCGAGAATGTTTCACATCGTGTACGATTGTTATTGTTTCCAATGAAGTGTACAGTAATGTGAAGCGATCCGACACGTTTAAAACATGAAAGCGCTGTATAAATGCCAAAAACGATTATTAATATTATTAACATAATATTCCACGTTAGCATATTACATAGGGAATCTTTATGCTGTGCGCTAGTAAAAAGAATCGAATATGTGCGCCTATGGGAGTAAAAATACAGGCAGGTATATAGAGAATTATGGATATCACACCATAGTAAACATTGAATGCATAATATAGAGGTTGGCACTACGATAAATTCTGGCAGATTGCTTGCGTACATATAAATTCTGTTTTGCAGTAGACACAAAGCGAAAGTACACATCTTTTTGAGATGACACATAGGCCTAAGTCGTCACGCGATAGTAGCCGCTAATATTCGGCGTTCCAGCGCAACCGTGATCATTCGTGAAGAAATGGGATAACGAATGGTATACGTTACATATTTAAATGAAATTATGCTTGCGCAAGTACAGATTAGGTATACGTCACTTTTACGCAATTTCAGATGGGCTTACCCGACAAATCAATAATTTATACGTTAATCAATCTACTATTTTGACGCCTTGTACAGTTTAGGGGACATATAATTTTTTTCAACATATTTTCCCCATAATTATTCAAAGCTGATTATTTAAATTCTATAATAATTCTCTAAGTGCTGCCATATGGCTTAGGTATTCACAATTCACCTTTTTTAATAGCACTCTCTGTCAGACCAATCTGTAAGAGCTAATAAATGTTCCAAATATTTTATTATTATTATTATTATTATTATTATTATTATTATTATTATTATTATTATTATTATTACTGTATTATTATTATTATTATTATTATTATTGTTGTTATTATTATTATTATTATTATTATTATTATTATTATTATTATTATTATTATTATTGTTATTATTATCCAAACCCCTCAATCATTGATGACTTGTTTTCTCAATTTTGATTCTTTGTATTCTGTTTTTTTCCGGTTTTGTGATGTTGTTAAGTTGATATCAAATAAATCAAATCAAATTATTATTATTATTTATTTATCTATTTATTAATTGTTACTATTATTACAATTCGTGATGGTCACTGATTGGCCGATCGTTAGAACGCGTTTTACGACGCGTGAAGTTGTGACCATGGGAACAAGACTTGCAGCATTATGAAGCAAGTCACATAGAGTAGATGCTGCTTTGCTCTATGATGCAATACGCATAGCATCACGGCTAATCAGTACGTGGTAAGCTCACTCATGGTGCTACCGTTATCATTTATGATGTTTATATTTCCAATCATGGATGAAATTAAAAATTAAATACGACGTTACAAAGAGCAACTTTAGAGTGCATTCTATGTACCACCTACTTCATCGAACATTAGAACAAAATTCCATCAACTTACAACTCCTTCAAATATTTATGTATTTGGTTTACACAATGATTTTCATCTTGTTGACGAATACTCAGTTGCAAAAAAAATGTAAGTGGCCTGCTCTAATTATTTAAGAGTTTAATCTATGTAATAATACAATACTACGCGGCGTTGCAATTGTAATTTTCATACTCCATGACAATGACAATACAAAGATGAGATAGATAGATAGAGTACCGTACGTTGCAAATTTAATAAAGTAACTTAAAAACTAAAGGGCCAACCACCGTACACTATGAGAAAAGCGTGGAGGATTTAAAAGCAAAGCTACGCACAATTTTAAGAGGATCGTCATTGAAAACGGCCCGTTTTGTGCGCGTCGTCGCGATTTGTTCTCTGTGGAATCACATCGCCTGACGCATCTGGCCCTTTCGTATAAACCCGTCGTGCCAACCCTAACCTGCATAGCTAGCTCTCAACGAATTTCAAATTCCTGGATCCGCCACTAAAATCTCCAAAGATTGGTTAATGGTTGGGAGATTTCAGCGTGATCTGCATGAAGAGAGTGCGATATCAATCATAATATCAACTTGTATGCGTCTGCTATCTTGTGAGCACTTTTCGGTAGCAATCTGAGCGGATCGTCAATAATAACGATCCGTTATGCGCGCGTCGTCGCGTTGTGTTCTCTCTATGGAATCGCGTCGCCAAGACCGTCGGGGGCGCAGTGTAGTCCCCGGCTTAAAGCTTAGTTCACACTGGAGCAGTGTAGACGCGCTAAGCAAGTGTGCATTCACACAGTCGATTCAGTGTGACCACTTAAGATTTGGTGCGTAGCACAAACGGTATGTTAGCTGGCTCTAGCACGCACATCCACGAAGCTCAACAAATCAACAAAAGAGAGATTGAGGAAATATTGGAAGAGCTTACGCTTGCCAGCTTGCGCGCGTCCACGTTGCAGTTTCGTCGTCTTATGTGAGTTAGTGTGAAGGAAATAGCTTTGTTTGTGCATCTTGTCATATATTTTGCGCAGCTACAGTTAACACATAATAACGGAGCTATAAAGATGTTGACAATGAATTTCCTTTGCTGTTTATCTTTTACAACAGATTGAACAATGGAGAATACGACCAGCACAACGGAAATTGTCTTTGTGAACAACACTTTGACGACATCAATATGGAACTCAGACTCACTGGAACTTACTACTCCTGCAAGCGGTAACTGTGAATTCGTTGTCAACGATACATCTCTCCAAATATGTAAGGAGCCAGAATATTACTCGCTACCATTTACTGTGATAGCAACTGTCTTCTACATTCTTGTCGGCCTAATTGGCTTTATTGGTAACGCCATGGTAATTGTGGTTGTTCTGAAAGTCAAAGGGATGCGCTCACCAACTAACTGTTATCTCGTTAGTTTGGCAATTGGTGACAGCACTTTGTCTTTGATCTCGACCTTGTTACATTCGCTGCCAGAGCTGTACTTACCGAACGTTGGGTTTCCGTACGGCATCTTCGGTTGTAGATTGTTCATTTTCTTGGAATACTTAAGCTACAATAGTACAGCGCTATCAATAACAGCATTTACTGTCGAACGGTTTATTGCCATCTGTTACCCAATGCGCTCGGCAACTATCTGCACCAACTCGCGCGCAATTCGCATCATATCTGCGATATGGATATTTACTATCCTGTATTGTCTGCCGTGGTTAATCTTTGTTCGCATTGTCGAAACGCAATATGTAAATGGTCATGACCCATCATACTATTGTCAATACATGGACAACAAAGAATTGTTATACAAAACAATTTACATGCTGGACTTTGCTTTGTTTTACGTGATGCCAACAGTTGTGTGCAGTGCGCTGTACACCGCAATCGGAGTGGTTTTGCACCGGAGCACTAGCAGTAAGAAATTGAACAAGAATATGGATGTAAACACGAAATCAGGAAATGGAACTGGCGTAACTGAATGTGACACTAATGCAAACTCGCATGTAAGAGACAGGAAGAACTTCGGTACAAAGAAATCGATTCAAAAGAAAAAACAGAGTAAAAGATCGGCTGTGTCGTCGAGAAAACAGGTAAGGCTATATTTGACGAAATATTTATAGTTATCTCCCTGGGGCTGGTAATGACAGATTCATCAATCATACACCAAAATGATATCGTTAATATTTTAAAAATGCAATGACACTGATTCTATCTAGTGCGATGCTGAGTTAATAATCTCATAAGTCGATTTAATGGAGTGTTTGTATTGGTGATGATGCTAGTATACATGTTCGCGGCTGACACAAGTGGGCCGCATAGGTGCACAAAACAAGATACCTTCACAGCACGTGCTTGCACTGTAATGGACGCATTATGTAGGCCTACTTAACCAAACGAAGAGAAACGCACCCGGTGTATAACCTGTACTATGTTGATGGGTTAAACGAATAATATAAAGGGAGCTTTTGATTGCATGACGACGGTAGGCCTAGAACGCAATGACGTTCTCGTTTTCGCCTGGATTAGAACGCAGTTTGGAACTAATCCACGTTGTGCATAGAACGTAGGACGGTAACGGATGAGTAAATTCGTTTCAGCGTTACGACGTCGTCACGCAAACAGAAAGCTCACAGATTCTGTTTTACACCTGTCTCTTATACACATCTAGATGTGTATAAGAGACAGCGATACATCTCTCCAAATATGTAAGGAGCCAGAATATTACTCGCTACCATTTACTGTGATAGCAACTGTCTTCTACATTCTTGTCGGCCTAATTGGCTTTATTGGTAACGCCATGGTAATTGTGGTTGTTCTGAAAGTCAAAGGGATGCGCTCACCATTTATTTTTTATTTTTTAAACGGTAAAGAATAGGAATCTGTGAGGGCGAAAGAAATGCCCCAACCAGGATTCGGACCAAGGACCTTCTGCTGTCTAGAGACGCCTTAACCAACTGGGCAATTGAGACTTTCATTGGAAGTTCGAATCCGATTGGAGGCAATTTTGCTATGTGATTTTCATTTTATATTTGTTGTTTTCAAAGTTCTTGTTATTTTTGTTTGTTACAGGTCGTGAAGATGCTCGTCGTTGTGGTGGCGCTCTTTGTGATGTTGTGGGGACCATATCGTATTTTGAACTTTTATACGTACATTTGGGATCCAACAGGCGAAACCATGCCGAACCTATTCCCTTGGTGGATGTTCTTTATACGCATTCTTGTTTTCTTGAACAGTGCCATCAATCCACTTATCTACAATTTCATGTCTGTCAAATTTCGTCGGGCTTTCGCAAAATTGTGCAGATGCGGCGGTAAGCCAATTGATAGTAGTAGCTACACGTCAATGCGTAGCTCTCAAACCGAGAACACCACACTCTAAAATCACTATTTAGAATACGTATTGTATTCCTCCGTAGACTTATATACGCATTAGACCAAATGTTTTTTAACTAAAGAGTATAATAAAGTGTCAAATTTAGAAGAAATCGATATACGTAAAGAATATGATCATAATTATGTAAATAAAAAAGAATGTGTAGTCTCATATACTAGCCAAATTATACGTTGTATATTGTAGAAGATTATTAATATTAGGTTTATTGAATAGAGGTGTTTAGTAAACGAATAATATCATAATGACCTGCTGATAGTATCAGCATTTTGAGCTACAGGTATTTTGTAATGTAATTTTAAATTAGTTGTAATTTATATGAATAGTAATGAGCCGTTCGTTCAGCGTAGGCCTACTTATTTATTTTGTCATTGCACAGCATTGCCGATTGTTAAAAATGTGAACCTTAGCACTTGTGAAAAAAAATGTTGACTCGACTGGCAGGCATAGTTTGTGCCTACGGAATGTTAATCCTAGTTTCGAATGCACGTAATCTGGAACATTAAGACCTACCGATAAACACATTACATTATTGTAAATAAAATACCTTTACCTTGTATTTCACTATGAAGTATAACTGTGTTCGTTAGCAATGTGTATTAACATTATGAAGCGACCCAGCATGCCTCCCATATGGCCAGCATGCCAATCGATGGAACATTGTTGAGGGGTACTTCAAACTACTAGCAGATTCATGTACTATTTTTATCACGAGGTGGATCATCTAACTAAACCACTTACAAAAATGCTTTATCTAACCTAATCTACTCTAATCCGAATCATCGCCAAGCTAGGCCTACATCGTCACATTGAATATTTAGCTTGGGCGGCACGTTTGATGTGTGGGCGGCACGTGCCAATGTACAGACGACCATCAAATAACGGCCATCAAATCACAGCCATGGTAATTGTATAATTCCTATTCCTCTATCGCTTCTATCACTCTGCACTTCACCTGTATAGTCTTATATTATGTGACAATGTGCATCAACAAACCTGTTCTAACTTCAACTATTACAGTATGTATCTTGTGCATGTAGGCCTAAATCCCTGTCTAGACTGTCACTCTTTCATGTCATATGCCTAAACATGGTCATGGCGATATAACATCATGACTATATATGGGCATACACCAGTTTCTTGTCAAATAATACTTTGATAGTCTGGGCAGGGCTCAGCCTAGCTAAAATTCTTCCAATTTAATTTCTCTGCATCTGCTTGTTACTTCATTTGCACAACCCCGGCATGATTATATTCATGGTATGTTGTTTCTTATTGGTTGTGCTTTTTGGTGGATTATTACGGTTTGCGCACTACACGTAAACAAATCTATGATGATTCATTTACCAGACCAGTAAAATTATTATCGCCTGATCAGAGTTTTCAGGAATATGAGGAGAGGGCACCCTTTTTTCTTCAAAATTTAATATTCAGTGTTTTTGCCACGATGAAAACAGACTGACATCGACTACTCCAACCAGCCTCTAACCCCCCACGTTTCTCAATTTCAGGAATACTGTGCATCTGCTCATCTCACACACACGTCGGACAGTCAAGTCATTTTAGACCGGTTTCAACGAAAAGCAGAATGTCTCTGCGTATTAAAGAAAACGATCGGCATAGCAGAAAGTTTATCCAAGCACAATACGTGGTGACAAGGACTAACATGATATGTACAAAACGAACAGAATGCTATTTAAAAATTTCAGAAACTGAAGAATTTCACGTGAATACAAGGAGAACGAAAGACAGTTTGTAGGGGTACAGAATTTTATTGGAGCAGGCCTACATCATCACCAGCTACATCGTCAGACAAAAAAAAAAAGAAAGAAAGAAAGAAAGAAAGAAAAAAGAAGTACAAGTTATAACATCTATTCTTTAAGAATTCTGAGCGAAACGTTGTAGGCCTATCTGTCGATACATGATGTTACTCAAATGTATACATTCTACCTCTTATGTTCAGTACTTTTGTTCATTGCTAGTATTAACATGGATTCTACAAATCCCACGATTCTGGCATTGACCGTATAATGGCTACGGTACTTT